CCTCCCCTCCCCTCCCCTGAAAAACAAATAACTCATAGGCTTGACTTAATATTTCTTCTGCCTTTCGAAAACTGATCATTAAGTGTGCTGCTACTAAGGTCAAACTTTGGGAAAACTGTTTGACAATCTATGTTAAAAAAAAACCCAAACCACCACATATCTGTATGTAGATTATTATTAATTTAAGATGGAATTAATTCTGCTTGTGAAAAATGCAGAATTTTTTTTTTGTTATATAATAACAAAATAATATAATAATAAGAATATAAGAATAGCATCCAAGTAAGTGAGGCTATGGCCAATGCTGCACATTAAATGGTGAATGTTATATTGTCTAATGTGTAAAAACTAACACTGAAGCAAATTTGAACCATTTATGTAAATGCATTTTGGCCAGAAAGAGTCAGAATGGAAACTATTTCAAACTTACCGAAATTAGGAAATATTTCTGTTCATATTGAACTAAACAATCGATTTCCAGTATTTCAGTTATGACTTGAACTAACAATTGTAATTCTTGCTATTACTTTATAATTTGATCATTCAGTGCTCACTGTTGCATTGTGTAGCATAGCTTACAAACCAGTCCAGTTCCAAGAGTTTAATTATGCAATGTCGAGTGCAAATTCAACACGCTAAACTTTACTGCTTTGAAAAATAATCATCCTACTAAATCATCCACATCCTCTCTTTATGCCCATCTTATGCAAAGAAGATTGAATGGGATAAGTACCAATGGCATGCCTTGGAGGAGAAAATGGAAATTGGGTCAATTTTTTTTTAAAGCCAAAACAAGAATAGAGAGTAAATGAGGCAAGAAGAGCAGGATTGTGAAACTGGTGTCATAAATCTCTGAAAGCTGTACACCTCCAGTAGGATGGCTTTGTGGAAGTAAAACTTAACTAGTATAGGTTACATTAGTCTGTTCATATTTCAAAATATTTGATTTTAAAAAGGAAAACAGACAATCTGGGTAGTATTTTACAAAGATTTAAAAATATCTGATTGCTGGAGGCAGGAGGAAATGTATAGATTTAAAAGGAAAAGAAAGCTTGTGGGTCATACTTAAAGTACAGCCTGTATTTTGGAATTGTAATCTATTTTTATTTCTGTTTTTATTTCCACTATAAACCTAGTAAAACTTCCTAATGGCATGAAGCTTGAGAATTCATCCTAAGTGTAAACTTGTTCTAACAGAATAATAAATTTTTCAGAGACTGGCTTTCATCACCTGTGTATGTTGTTTATTTTAACATATACAGTATTGAAATATTAAGCTTTCTGGTGTAGTTTTAACAATAGTACTCTTGGTAGTCTGCTTTTTCATGTGCTTTTCTTTTTGAACTTTCCTGTGTCTGTAAGATGACATATTGCAATGCTGATTGAGTGCAGTTTAAGGTGATTATGAGTAATTTAAAGATATATCCTGTGCATCTTGTGCAATTTCCAATGGGTGACCCCTGTATAACAAGGAAAGATTAAAGTGATTTTCTAGTGGAAGTTAAGTTAGTGTGTTCCACAGTTTGTATTTTTAACGTCTAAAGAATTTCTGTCTTTGCCTTTGTTGCTTTCCATAAGAAGTGTGTAAGATTTTTGGGTAAAGGATCAGATAAATTGGATTTTTAGTAGTATTCTTACCTAAGATTGCTGGTGTCCTCTGGAGATCCCTGTGTATAGTTAGAATCAGGTGTTTCAAAAGGCATCTTGATTAAACTATTAGAAAAAACCTTCATCTTATGTTTGGGGATGGGGAAGGGATAAGAAAAAAACTTTCAAATGGAATATGTGTTCAACATAACTGCTAGAAAGAGGAGGATGAGACTGACTCAAGCAGTGGAATGGTGAAAGCACTTACTGACAGGATACAGAGATTCTTGCAAATGCAAACAAAAAAATGCTAAGTTATTACAAATTGATGCAGTTCTTGGGGTACAAATTGTGTGTGGCCCAGGAAAATGGTAAAGCTGTAGAGGATCAAGGTGTGAGGGTTAAACTTCTTGAAGACATATATAGTAGAAATGTTAAATTCTGATTTTTGAACAGGAAGCTGTAATTCCCGTCCAGCAAATGCTATTTGATTCTGTTAAAACAAGTGTAGAGCCATATGTATACAAATTTTGCTGTGTGCAGTACAATTGGCTTTCAAGTCAAAATTAAGAGAGCATTTGTTTATCTTGACGAGGCTCTATTGAGTCAGTAGCAAAATTTGCTAGTGTTTGAAAGCAGAAAATAATTAACATATTTTCTTATTCTTGATTAGTTCTGAATGATTCTGGCATCACTATTTATGCTGTGTGCTTGGTCATATGCAGCTGGAAGGAGAGATTCGGGAAGGTGTAAAAATTTTTGATTTTTAATTTAGAGGAAGACAAGATCTCTATGTCATATTTTATCCATCCTGCTGAAGTCAAAGTAGCTGTTTGTTGTAACTTATGTTCATCAGTTAGTTGTTTTTTTCCCAAGGTACTTTTGAACCATCTCAGTATCTGCCTTTTTTTTTTTTTTCTTTTTTTTTTTTTTTTTTTTTTTTTTCTTTTGTTTTCTTTTTTAAATTACGTTGCTGTGCTTAGGGAGTTATTTTGGTGTGTGATCAATTCATTTCTGACTAGTAATGAACACCATGAATGTTTCATTCAGCTTTTTACTTCCACTCTTTTTTTAGTATGATTCCAAATCTCCCAGCTGTATGCAGTGAGAGTAAAAACACTTTTGGAACTTTTGAAGGAAGATTTTTTCTTCCTTCAAATTGACATTGGTAACTTGCTAATGCTGAAGTTAGCCAAATGGATTCCAGCTCTGCCATGCCTTTTTCCAAACTTCCTCAGCAAATTCATGATCCATTATAATCACCTGCCTCAGGGGATTTTTTTGTTTTGTCATAAATCTGTGTTATTTTCTCACATACGTTATTTTGTCGGTGCATATTTTTTCTTTTAAGGTTCACGTACATGTGCATTTACAGTGCACATTAGCAGAGCAATCTGTCAGCCTATTTGAAATATTATGAACACTGTCAACTTGGCTTAAAATAACAGCTTCAAAGGAGGTAAAAAATAACTTCCTTCAACTTTAAATGAATAGTGGAAACAACAGTGTGAAATAGTCAATTATAATACAACATATTAGAACACTCTCAATTTAAATGTTCTGAGACATGGAGAAAAGTGGCAAATATGGGGAGTTGAAGAGCATTAGTGATCAAAACAAGACAGGGCCTCAAAAATTACTGGTTCACAGGGCAGTGCAGTAAAGCCACTAGGTTTACCTGCAGTTCATGTAAGTTCAAATTCCTCATCTTGCCTGCACTTGCCCATTCAGAGCTTTTTGCAAGCCTGTAATACTACATATTTCTGAACAAACTGATCCACAGAGTCAGTCTTTAGTGTCAAGAATGCAGAATGTCCTGCCATCAGTAAACCTTTGTGTGCCTGATATTCCTGTCCAGGAATGTGAATATATTGTTCATAGAGATAGGGGAAAAATGAAGTATTTTTTGAAGTATATTATGAGTTAAAATTGAAATCTCTTCAATGAACAGAAAATCTCCCCTCATTTTCCACAATAAGGATTGGATTGAGAAGTTTTTAATTAGTTACAAATAGGCTTTTTTGGGGTAAAAAACCTGGACTTCTTTCTTAATCTTTCAAGCCACTTGGTGAGGCTACCAGTTACATGAATATTTTCCTCCAGCTTTTCCTGGGTGTGTTCAGCACGGGGCTGCATAAACAACTTTTCTATGTATGACAGGCTGAATCATGTTTCACAGTTTCACACATCACCTATTTTGTGGTATATCATTGCAGCTGTGATACAAAGATATTAATAAGGATGTTGGGGA